ACTGGCTGTCGTGTCGCCTTTCCCCTCATCCCCCTCCATTCCCTCCCTATCCCCCCCGACCCTCTCCCCGTCTCCGGGCTGCCCCGTTCTTCCCCGGCATGTCAGGGCCGTGGCGCTTTCCTTGCAGCGGAGGGGGGGGAGAGGGGATGGGGCAGTGACAGTGAGACGGGACCTGGAAAGTGGAGACGCGAATTGTGCTGTGCACCGGGAGGGTCTGATGACGAAGCCACCTGATACCTGGAACAGAAATGGGAGAAGCAGCAGATGTAGCTGCTGCCACAGGGGAGGCAGCGGCCACCGCAGGGGAACAGAGGTCTCTGGCCTGCAGGTGGGGAGAGAGGGCCATCAGGGGGCTGTGCGTTGCTGATTTGACCTGGTTTGGGACCGCTAACTCATGAACTCAGGTTATGTGTGTCCTGTGTTTTGTCAGGCCTGGTAAAAATAATGTTTCTCCGCTAGGGATTTAGTGTGAATGTTCAGAGGAGACATCACGGGACTGAGCACGAGGGAGAAGGAGCACGAGGGAGAAGGACGCACGCTAAACTTCTCCCGGTACCGAGGGCGCTTGGTGGCACTTCGGTTCTTATGGTGATGAGCTACAAAAAGTCTGCTTGTCCTGCTGGATTATTCGTGCTTTTCCTTCCTACACACGCATCCTGATGTGTTCCTCTAACCTGCTTAAAAAAGGGATGGGTGTTGCATAATCCCAAAACCAAAAGGCTTGCAAATCTTGTCTCGTTGCTCTGCCAGTAGATTTCACTTCTTGTCACAGCTGTTGCCTGGTTTAGTAGCTGGATTCCCAAGGAAACAAAGCCCATATGAGCACAAAGGCGGGGTGCTCGCAGCCTTTGTGTGTGGGTGTGCATGTGTGTCTGTCCTTCCTCCCCACCCTTAATAATTTTTTAATCTGTTGGTCAATTGGTCGATCTGATTTGACAGAGGGAAAGAGCCTCTAGGAGTGATTATAAACATCCTGAGTAGGGAAAAAATTTTGGGTGGAACTTGCACCTTACTAGAAACCAGATAAGCCCAGCTGTGAGATGCAAAAGCTTCAGAGTGCTTTGGCAGTTCTGGAAGAGCAGAGACACCAGCCCTGGCTCAGACCTGTGTGTTTAACAAATAAACAAATACAGCTATTAGCAAACTTGAATCCCAGGTGAATCTGTCAACAGATTCAGGAGGACAATAAATCACCCAAGTCAGACAGCAGAGTAAAGCTTTGACAATGAGCTTTATACAGTCTCTAGGCAGCCAAGCAGGAGTTGCTAAAACTTGGGATTTCCAAATATGTAGAACACATGACTCAGTTGTGCAGCATTCAAAATAATTCAGAAGCGTAACATAAAACCTCTCTGCAATTTCCTAATCTAAGAAAACAGATGTTAATCACATTTTAAAAACAGAGTACAAAGAGGATCCCGGCAGAACTTCCTCAGGCCTGATCTGCATATTGAGTTGTGCAACAGCTCGATTGCTGCCCGACCAGCTGCACAGGAGCTTTCTGCTTTCTATGTAGCAAAATCAGAACACGAAAATATTGGTGTCAATGTTATCGCTGCACACATTTAAGCACAGCCTTTTGTTTTAGATGATGTACAAAACTGCTTTTGGAAACACTTTGGTTTTTTTTTTTTTAAAAAAGCTATGCTATTTCCCTGTTCTCAGCAGCTATTTGGAAAAAAAGCAGAGTGGTTTTGTTTATGTCGATGTCGCAGGACAGTGGAAAGAGTGCTGGCTTTCAGATGTTTCCCTGCAGTGGAGAATTTTCAGCCAGCTGTGGTGAGTGGGGTTTTGGTCTTGCGCTGGTTTCTGATGGACTCGGTCACACTTTGCATGTGCCCAGAGATACTCAAGAGCTTTCTTGACATTCCTGAGATGTTGTTGTGAGTAAGAACTCCTACTTTTTTTCTGAGCCAATCCATTTAAATGTGGCAGTGTTGAAGTTCTTTGTCAACAGGTTATTTGTAGTATCTTTCCCTTTCTTCTAGCTGATAATTGTACCTTTCCCCCTCCCGTTCCAGTTATGTTTTCTTTATGCCTGAAGAAAATGGCACCTGTACCTGCACAAATGTGAAGGAGGAATGAGGGAGTAAATGGTAACAGAAAGGAGGCGCAAGGATTTTGGACAGGTCAAAAAACCCAAACAAACTAACAACAAACCAGTGAGGTTTTCTCAGATACTTCAGGTCACGCTGAGATATTGGATATGGTTTGCATATGACTGTGCACCAGATCCTAAGACTAACTCAGCTTTCATATGGAAAAAAGTGTTTTTTAAGACTTACGGTTGTGAGGACAGAGCATGAGTAGGTGGACCAGATATGATCTGTGTCTCTCTGAGTGGGAAAAACAACTGAAAACAACCACTGTAGGAGGTAGGAACTTCATTTTATCCCTTAAGTCTGCTGCTTCGGGCAATGACCTACTTTAATAATGCTCCTACACAATATTCTTCAGTGAGGTTTTGCTCTGCTGCAGCATCGTCAGCAAAGACCACCTTGAAATGATGGAGTGGGAAATTAATCTCTCCTTCTCTGGTAAAGCCCGAGTCTAGTATCAACTTAGCCGAACGCTGCGAAGGGCAGACATGGGAGCTGTGGCAGGTCCAACTCAAAGACGACACTAGTAAAGCTGCCTCAACACCTACAGCTTCAAGTAAGGGAGCTGTACAGAGGCAGGGCCCAAGTGATTTGGCAGACACATGAAATCACCATATCTTTATGCCCTCAGTCATTTCAGTGTAGCTCTTTGGAAACTTTAAGATCCCCGGGTTTGTTGGCAGAGCTCAGAGTGTACTCTTCATGGGCCCATATGGCTTGCATAGCTTCAGAGACAAATGCTGTCTTTGCGATGCCCTCCCATGTTTAAATAACCAGCTTGGGAACGTCTCCTAAAGTCTCTGCTAACGCCATAGCACGATGGATAGTCAGAGCTGGAATTATCTCCACATATCCTTTTGGTTTTCGTTTTATCTCATGGCATGATGTACTCTTAGAGCAAGGGTGTGAGGTTGCCTTGGAGATGGAGGGCTATCTGTCATACTGAAATGTTGACATTAGCCAATATAACTGTGAATGCTTTCAACAAACAATTGAGCGAAGTGAAGTGACAAAAAGCTTACGAAACGGTCATCAGGGAATTGCATAAACTGGGGTCAGATGTTCAATCTGAGACTGTTACATGACCGAGGAGTTTTGCAGCTGGCTGACAAAAGGAAGCGGGAGGTCAGCTGGTCTCTAGTTGTTATAACAACAACCTGCTATGTTTCTCAAGCAACAGAGATGCCCATAGTCTTTTGGCAGGAAGGATCGGGAGGATGATTTCCTTTTTTCCTGGAATAATGTTTGAAAGCTGCAAATGTTTTTCAGCCAGTTGAATTTGAGACTTCTCTTGGAAGTGGCAGGATCCTCCCAAGTGCTAATACGCTGTGGTGCAGCCTTTGAGTGGATCAGCTGGAAGACTTTGGAAATGCACCATCAATTTAGCCAACTTGCAAACAAGTGAGTAGAAAAGAGAAGCACAGGGAGAACCTACAGATTTGCTGCAACATTCAGCTGGAAAAAAAACCCAAAAAACTAACAAAAAAACCAAACAAACAAAAAAAAATGCCCAACTGTGCATTGCCTTTATTCCTAATGTTTAGTTTATATCTTCCAAGGGAAAACTGGCAGGTGACCGGCTATGAATAATGTACCCATGGGGAAAGTTTGTTTCTAAACATGAACAGTTAGTGCCTGGCTTATGTCTGGGTGGGTGTGCTGGCTATTTAATAAATATTTCATTTTACTGAGGCAACCACATGAAAGAATTGCTTTGGAGGAATTCAAGGCGAGAATATCTTTATTCTGCATCAACACCAACACCCTCAATGCAGTAGAAGCGAAGTGTAGAGACTAACCTTTCTCCCTTATCTCCCCCATGCCCCTCTCTGTGCTGAGACCCTTGCAAATTATAACTGAAGTGATATGGTCCTTTATATTTCTAGCTGCTTCAGTCTATCCCACTTGAAATGCTGGGCTTTTCTGCCACGGTGGCAGGACAAAGAAAAATGGTGTGGGCTAAAGTTATAGTTTGTTGTAGTTTAGGAAAAGATGCTGATGGAGTAAGAGCTGCAAACAAAGCAAAACCAAAACATTTCCTTCAGCTATGGGAGTCACAAAAGTGAGGGAACCTGAAAGTGCAGTTCTCATCAGAAATGGTAAATCCCATCACCTAACAGCAGAATTTGCCTTTTTTTTTGTACATATACCTAAGTCTCTTATCTGAACCCTGCCAACCTTGAAGAGTCTCAGATGATCTTCAGTACCTACATCCCTCAGTACCCCCTGGATAAGCAGTGCCAAACATATTCTCCTTCACCCTCTTGGTCCTCTGCAATGGTGCAGTCTGGATGTAATGGTTTTTAGCAAAAGAGTTAGTATCTGATTCATCTGCAGTTACCCCTCTATAAGAAGGAGTCTGAGAATGGTGTTTGTGTCTACATCTGAGAGAGGCAAAATATTACATTATATATGGAAAACCCTCATTCGTGCCAATGTAAATCAGGAATAATTCTGTTTAAATTGGGTGCCATTGAGATGACTATCAGGTCTTGAGAATTCCCAATGTACAGAATATTTTATTCTGCGGTGCAAGTAGGGCCAAAAAAACACAGCACGGCTCAGGTAGTTAGAGAAATGCTTTCCTAACAATTCCCACCAAAAAGTTCTGCTAAAAAGCAGTTAAGGTTGCTCCAGGGCAAAACACACCCACACAAGAAATGACAGGTTAAGGGAACCTTCTTCCCATAAGCTATCGTGCGCACCTCATATTAACCACTCCCAGTGACAGACTCCAAACCCCAACAAGAAGCTTCCCTTGTTCTGCGGGATGAAGAAACAAACTAAATACCCATCCCTCCTACACGCCTCGGTGCAAAACCCTCCGGCTCCTGTAACATTAACATCAGTGGCTGGTGCGTGCGTAGAGGCTATGGTGATTATGGGTTAAAAAATGGAGATTAACAAGTGTCCCTCTGAGCATGCACTCTGCTGGTACTGCTGGTCTCAGGGACCTTTTTTGACTTTGTCAGATTCTGTTTTCTCTGGGGTTGATCCCTCCACTTAGTAGACCCCTTCCACAATGCAGAGCTGAAGAGCCATCTGTTGCTTCTTACTGGACTGGAGAATGAGCTGTTTGATATATTTCCAACAGAATACATGTGGTTCCCTTGCTGCAAAAATAGCTACACCTGCACCAGATATCTGTGTGGGACTTCTAGATGATTTATTCCCAGTTGGACAAGGAGAAATTTTATGTGAACGGGGTTTTGTCACCCAAGGGGATCCTGGACAGAACAATGACAGCACTAAGCTGTAGTTACAATTAAAGCTTTGCTTTTTAAACAGAATTTTACAGCATACATCCAATTTTATGACCAGAATAGCATAGGATTTTTATAATCAGAATCAGTGTAGCACAATTTTATAAGTAGCATAGCACACAATTTGTAGCACAGATTAACTTTGGGTTCCTAGTCACCTGAACCCTCTGCAGATCGGGTCAAATCTTCATACTTGGCTTGCAGTATCAATATAACATTCACAATATAAACTCAAAACACATGAAAGAACACGAGTCACTCACTCAGTCCTCGAAGGAAGTAGATGATAGCAGAGGCATCGCCGACCACTGAAAAATCATAGGTTTTGCTGTCCAGCAGCAGTTGTGGCCAAGTCCCACTTAGGATTTGCAACTGCTTGATTTTATAGACAGTGCTCTGCGTGCTGCTTCCCTTCCCTCTTCTGTGATAGGGTCATCACTGCCTGGTTTGCTGGGTGTGTGGGACCTTCAAGGGTGGTAAGGAGAGGAGTAGTCAGCCCAGTGCCCAGAAACCTTGAGGCTGATAGGGAGGGGGAGAAGAAGTCTGCCTTATGTACAGGACCTTCCAGGCCTGATAAGGAGGGAAAAGAGGGCAGACACATGACAAACTTGGTTACAGAAAATGTCCACTTGCCTTAAAAAATGTGATTAGTTATGCTAACCATGTTATGAGAGGTCAGGATCAGGGGGTACCGGTTATGGATTTGCATTGAAGAAGCCTTTGCTTCAAAGTGTGTTGGTGGTCTTCCACTTAGCTTCCCACATAGCTCTATACCTTCCCACACCTAGCTGCTACTTTCATCCAAGTTTCTTCTGCTCCACAGGGTCACTGTGATCCATACTTACCAGGTTTTGCCTTGTTTAAACACTAATACAGGGTTACTTCTGCCTTTTTGAAAGGCAGAAGTTTGAAAGTAAGAACTTTGAAAGTAAGTTACTACTTACTTTCTGCCCAGGTGCTCTAGGAACAATGTCTTGGCATCACACTAACAGACTTTATCCACTGCCTCTGTGCCACAGGGGGCTCATGAGCCTTCTCATACTCCACAGAAGGATAATGATGTGTTGGTCCAGACACAGAAACCAGGTTTATGTTGGGCCTCAGGGGCTCAACAAAGAATCAAAGACATGTAGATGAAGTACAGTAGTGCTACAGACCTTTGTCCATTGAAAATGAGCTGGAGAAGACTTTGTCAAGAGGTATTAGTCTAAGAGCGTGATTTTGAGTCATGATGACCTTGAAGATGTTGAGGATGGTAAGACTGAAAACCTTCTCGCTGAATCTATCACACACATGCCAGTGCTGTGACCTGGTCATAGGCTGTTACTTTACCAGGTGTCCCCAAAATTCTGGCCCTGCTTTCCCTGACTACTGTGATCAGCTCCGACCTGGAAAACTGAAATCATAATGAGCTGTGCTCATTACAGACCAAACATTTTATAGTTCTGTCACAGTGCAAAGGCCCCTGAGAGCAAAGTAATAAAGGTTTGATATGCATTTATAACCTCACCTTTAAAAAGTCAGCATGAAGTTTTTATTTTCCTGTCCTCCAGGAAAATCTATTTATATCAACAAACCCCAGAGAATCATCACTCATTTAGAAAACCTTAATAACTGTAATCCTAATGCCTTTTTAATGCTAAATGCCTTTATCAATGTTTTCTAACTTTACCATGGGTTATGCAAATGTAATACACAATATAGAGTAAGCTTGGAGCAGGGGGCTTTTAAGGATAGCTATACATGACATGCACGTCTCTACTCACTGGTCTAAGAATATGATATCAAAACGGGTGGAATCTTTTCTTTGTTTCCATAACAAGAATACATCCCACATGGAAGTCATCAGCACCAATATTAAGCTTTCCTGAGCCATCATTATTAAAAATACATTACACATACACCTGTACAAGTTGAAGTCTTGGAAGAACATGTCTTTTCCCCAGAAATCAAAGTACTTTCTGTGCAGATGCCTGCGGGGGACAGTGATCATAAAGCAGTCAGAGAGCAAAAGGAATGCTGAGATTTGAGAGCCTGCGTGATTACCCACAGCTGTACAAATAGTACAGTGGAGAAAACAGATTGACCTTGGCCATGTTTTCAGAGTGCCAGATAACCAGGTCCTTCAACAAGCTCTGTTTCAACACGAAGAGGAAAGAAGAGACGGTGACCCCGAGGAACGCGAGGAAACACAATAATGACTAAAGCAGCGACATTGCAAGTCATCAACTTGAACATCTTCAAGGACTGGTCTGGGATAGAACTGGGTGGTGATGACAGATATCTGCTTTATGTACCTGGCAGCGTGAGAAGTGGATTAGACTGGATATGTGACAGCAGTATCTCAAGTACAAGTAGACAGCACCCTTCAAAACATGAATTATTGTGCATTAACCATCCCATAAATACCCACGGCAGTGAAATTTTAGCCTGTTTGCAGGGAATTTGTAAAAGAATTTAAAAGGCAGGAAGCGTTTTGGTGTATTTCTAAATCCACAGGACCATGGCTATCTTTTCCCAGCTTTAGTGCCTGTGTCCTCCTGTAAGGAGAGAACATTGTGGGGGGCCATACTAGCAAATGTTCATCTTGCTGACCTGCCCTTCACCTCTGCAAATAGATATTTTATTTGCCATTTCCTCACATGACTGGGAAACACACCCTCCAACACCAAGATCACTTTCAGAAGTGCAGACACTATCACTAGGCTGGCCATCAGCACCCCCTCTAGTTTTTATCTTGGGCTGTGCCCCACTAGGGTTGTTGAGTTAGATGCTCAACCTGGGGGAATCTCTTTCCCCCCTCCCCATGGTGGAGGAAACACAGTGGATCAGCTAACTGGTGGAGAGCTCACTAGATGTTACGACCATGAACCACGGAGGCTTAATGCAGGGTGAAAGCTGGAAATTAACTTCCTCCAGAATCTCCCATGACTCAGAGCAGGCTGTGGAGATGATCCTCAGAATGGTTGAGGGAAACAGCTTGAGGATTGAAGGAAACCTTATCTTTGCTGTGCTGGAAAACTGTGTGTTACACAATACTTGTTTTTCTCACCTTGTGAATTCTGCCCTTGCGATGTGCAAATCCTCAGGCATGTATGTGTTCCCTGCCATCCAGCATCTTGGTAAATAAAGAAGTTTGGAGAGCTTGTGAAGATCACTGTGAAGAGCATTAGTGTAGTTACGAAACAACAAGAGTTCCCTAAACAAGAAAAAAAAATATAAAAAAGATGGCAGAAAGGAGGTGGAAGGGGATCAGGAGGTGAAGGTCACCGTTCTGTCACTCAGTCACTGGTGGAGGACTCCCCTCCTAGCACAGGGAGTGTGAAAGTGCTTCCCTGTTAAGGCTTCACTGGTAGCTGCTGCCAGCTTGGCAGGGAAAGCTCTCGCTGATGAAACCAAATTCCTGCGTTCCCCTGACATTGAGCTGCCCCTGCAACGCTGTAGCTCTCAAAGAACCCGAGGGACTCTGAGGAGAAACGCTGCATTTACCCTGGCTGTTTTGCCCTTCGCTTTCAAACACTAATTTTATACTCTACAGTCAGCCGAGCAACTCTTTGCAAATTTTACAACCTGGTCTCCCCAGAGCCCGAAGGCATTAAGCATTCACACACTGCACAACCTGAGAACTGAAGTATAAAATACACAAAAACACAAGAAGCCTGTACGGAAGGTCTTGAATAAGGTCAGTGAATCTGCCTACACCTTCGGGAGCAAGCACTCACCTGAATGATAAATCAAGAGTTAAAAATAGACCATGTTAAAAGCTGATGAGAGCACAAGGAGGTATAGCATATTATTTAGATCTGTCACACAAGAATCCCATATCTGATTTACAAGAAGTGTATGGAACATGTCCTCACCAGATGTCTGCCAACTCCGTGTTGAGACCTTTAGAACAAATTTAGGGGAATGAATAATTACAAATTGCATGTAATGAGTAGCTGGAAAACAGGATAAGATGCAAGACAGGTCTTTCAAAACCAGATCATGCCAAACTAAGCAATTATCTTTCTTAGATGCGATAACTCAGTCTGTTTGGCAGAGGAAGCATGGTAGGTCTCACCTATTGGGCTTCAGTAAAGCATTTGATTCAGTGCCACTACTCGGGTGATTAAAAGGCAAACTGGAGAAGGTGAAGATTAGTAGGCAAAGTGTAAAGGGGTGAGGAAATGCCTAAAGGGAAGAAGATAAGTAATATTGGAAAGGTGCCGTGCTGGAATGAGGGGGTTCCACAAAGACCAGTCTTAGGACTTTCAATATTTTTACTGACAGTTTAGATATTAAAAAAAACATGAGTGTTGTGCAATATGACTGATGTGTGACGAAATCTGTCAACAGGAGAAAGCTGGAGGGTGTTGCTGGTACTCAAGAAGGCAGAGATCCCTGAGAGATGAAATTTATACAAAGAGTCAAATGCTGTAGTAAATATTGGATGGAAAAGAGGCTGAAATTATGCTAATAGCATTGTAAAAAAAGACACTGGAGAAACTTCCTCTGGAATACTGTATACAGTTCCAGTTAGCTCTATTTTCAGAAAGCCCTCAAACAGGAACAGGTGCTGTGAAGAGATGTCCAGGAAAATTATGGGGAATGGACAGCATGTCCTGTCAGACACAGGAAGAATTTCAGCAAAGCAAAGGATGAGAGAGCTTGTAATTTCTCTCCATAAACACCATGGGGGAATGGGAGCAAAAAAGACAAACTAGTGAACTTGAAGGACAACCTGACCCAAAAATATTTGAGTACAAACTGGCTACCAACAAACTGACTCCTGGAATTAGAGGAAAGTTCCTGGTTACCAGAGGCATGACCAAATAAGCTTCCCACAGAGGAAGACAGCAACAAATACTGCTGATTTTCAGTATGAGGTGTATTTAGTTTCCAAAGAGCCTGTACCACATGGCTGCCTGCAGCAACCCGGGCCAGGCTCAGTGCTCCAAGGGATCAATTCCCAGCTCTGTCCCCACTCCTGTCCTCAGAGAAGCTGCCAGTGGTGTCCTGGGAAGGCCTCCCTGGAGTCTGGTCTTACACAAGCAGGTGTCTCACTGGTTGCACAGGCTGGGAGGCAAATCTTTGAACCTGTCTCCCAGCCCTCAAGGAAAGTTGCTCCCTTTTCTCACAGTGCTGTGCAAGACATAAAATCCTCTTCTATTTCTCCAGCTGCCCCAGGCATGGCTTAATACTTGCCAGTTTTCCAAAGGTGCTCCCCATTTTGATCTTGATTTTTTCTACTACTAGGCAGTAGTTAAATGGCTCATTTCTCTGGCCCAGGTGCATCCTCCACCAAGGCACCAGAGAAGATGCAGACCCTGCAGCAGGCAGGTTGCTGAGCCCCTCTGCGGCATTTCTGCCCCTGCCGCTGGGGCTGCAGTGTCCCGTGCTCTCGCCTGTGGCAGCAGAAGCATCTGTGGGGACCTACCAGAGCAAGCACCAGGTCTGGTGAAAACACACATACCGCTGCAGCTCCAGGAAGGTGCACGCATGCTCGTGGGGAGAGGAGGAGGAAGGGGAGGTGTGCTGCTACTGTTCATTTTCCATGGTATGGCTACACATCCGTAGTGGGGCAGCCACCTTTCTCACTGGGGGGAAAGAAATGTGGATTTTAAAAAGTTTCCAGACCTGACTGCTTTAAAAACAGTATGTTGGCCATGGTGGATGGCCAGGTGCACATCACAGAAGTGTTTTCTCATAGTTATGAACTCCAAAGCCTGGTTCTTGGAAGAAGGGGCAGAGGAGAGCGTGGGTCAGGCAACAGCACTGTGGGCTCTGCCAGTTGTGAGCTGCACTCATCTGGAGCACCTCAGACCTCCAGAGCCGTTGATCATCTCTTGGGGACTGGCTTCCTACACGTGTTCACAGTGATGCGCACTTTCACCTCCGCTGCTTTGACACGCAGCTGCGCCACCCTCCCACCCCCACAAGCTCACGGCTGACCGCCAGGAAAATGCCCTCTGTCACCTTGACACGGCTGGCTACGCCAAGTTTACTGAACCACCCACCTTTTTTCTTCAGCGTGGTACTGGCCTTGCAAGAACTGGAACTCCTCCAAATCCTCCTTGAAGCCGGCCCCTCTCTCCTCTTCCTCCTCATTGCTGGCAGAGGCGTTCTGTGGCCAGAGGAAGGAGTGGGTACCTGCCAGGTGTCCCCCCACCCCAGGAAAGCAGCATCTGCTGGGAAAGTAAAAAGTGACTTTTCCTTTGCGCGTGTTGGCATCAAGGAGGTGCTCTGAACTCGTCCATCTGTGCAGCTCACGTGGATATAAGCTCTGCTGGCACTGAGAAGTCCTGTCGGTTTTGAGAAGGGGATCTGGCCAGTTTTCATAGAAAGTGTTAACAGGGAACACACTGTGAGCAAGCTTGTGGAAGGCAGGGGGTATACGACAGGGCTGTATTTTTAATTCTCTGTTAGCACAGTACAATCCTGGCCTCAGCCCAGGGCCTCTCAGAGCCATCCAATACCTATTTTAACGGTGACAGCATTTAGAGGTAAACCTGTTCCTAGGCAGAGTGGACACACAATTGTCCCAATAAATAGTTCAGGAGTCTATCTTTAGAGCAGAGCTCCAGCACACAGGGAGGAAAGTTGCTATTTCATCTGCTTCTTTATATATTGGCCCCGATGTCCCAGTCTGGCTGACCTTTTACTAGTGTAAAACCTCCAAGAGCTATTTTCATCCTAGTGTAAATCAGCGTAGCTTCGGCGTTGGCATCACAGGAGTTTCTTATCTCATGGGGACTGTCCTAGCACAACCTTCCTCCCAAGCACACCTCTGGGCTGGAGATGACAGGTTCTGCTGTACATGCTAACTGCTGCTAGCTGTGCCTGTCCCCCCTCCACCAGAAGAATCCTGAGCCAATCATTTAGGATTTCCCTTTTCCCTTCCTTAAGAGTGGCCCCAAACAACTACCAGTATCTTCCATTCAGGCAGTGTTCCTGCCACCCTGCTCCCTCACTGCAGCTGGACTCCTCCCAGGTGAGTACTGTAGCACGTCTTCTGTGGTTGAGAGAGAGAGGGAGGTGCCTGCAAAAAGTAATTTATCCCTCCGAAAATCAGAACTGCATCTCTGAGGAAGTGCCTGGGACAACTGTGCTCTTGCCACCAATGCTTCATTTAGACACCTAAAATGAGGGGGTAAATCCACAGCCACCTTCTTCTCAGGCGTGCTGTTTCACAAGCAGAAGCCTTGTAATTCTCCTCCTGCTTGTTGCTCTCAGCCGCTATGTGTTAGGTAGGATGTTAGGTAACCTATGTCCTCCCACATTCTGGCCGAGCTCCTTCCCCCAAGTGGCATCAATGATGACTTTCATCTTGCTACACCAGATATTCGACATCACTTAGTGTAAAGAATGCATATTTTCACATCTGGCTGTGATCAATAAACAGCTCCTGTCTGTGGCATGGCAACAACTGCCACCAACATCGGGGGTCTGCATTTTGGGATGTAATGGTTGTCGAAATTTTGTAATCAAGAGCCTGAGAGTCTTTCTTGGGAAGATTTGCATTGCATGATCAACAGCAACAGTAGTCCAAGCCAACTTGATGAAAGGGACAGTTAATCCAAAGAGCCAAGTGACTGGAATGTGCCCTGCTCTGGGAGGGCAGGGGGGGCATCACTCATCTACGTGCTTACAGCTGAGGTATGGCTGGTGTAGCTGAAGCTGGTAGTTAGCCAGAGGTTTGGGGGCTGGTTGGTGGTTTGTTGGGTGGTTTTTTTTAAGTAAGAAAAACATCCACAGTTGTTCCACAGGAAAAGAACGAGTAATCTACCCACATAGAATACATGCAGTTGTCCTTGTTTCCTCCTTGCTTACTTTCACCTTCTGCTAATGTAAGTTGGGTGACAAGATTTTTCCAAATGCCAGATTAGGGTAAACAGCAGTTGGGTGCAACAGATGAGGGGGAATAACAGGCAGGCTTTTAAGAAATGAGTAATGTGTGCACAGGGCACATACTTGAATGCCTAAACCTTACAGTGTTTTACAAAAGGGGGCAAAGGAGGTTAACTCATCCGCACAGGCAGAGTCCTATAGCTGTAGGCTCTCTGTGCTTCACTGCCCACTCTCCCCTTCCCCTGGGGGCTGCTGCTGAGATGGGACAGCTGAGCTGCGTGTGAAGCAACTCCTAACCCACTGAAGTTTTCGACCTGACGTGTTAAAGCAAACACCCCCTCACCCAAGCAGGGGAGTGAAAAGAAGCCCAAGGCGTGATTCTCCATGGAGGTATAACACCCCAGGTGACACAGCCCTGATACCTGAGCAGGGCCATTTCCACAGTGGTTTGCACCTGCTTTGCACAGATGCCTGTGCCTACGCAGGGCCCAGTGCGGTGAGGGACACACTCTGAGTCATGTTCAATGCAAAGTCAGGTCCAAGCTGACCACGTGTGAAACATCTGCCAGAAGCCAACCTGCGAAGCGGGCTCTCCTTCCCATTGATCCAGCAGAGCTGCACACACCCTGGCAATGGAAAAACATCTCTAAAAAGCTTCCCAGGCCTAAGAGGAAGCAGCAATGATGGTCAAAGCTAGAGCCACGTGAAACTGCATAGGTCAGCAATAGTGCCCATGCTGTCTGAGCACCACGCGGCTGCATGCAAAGCATCTGATTAACAAGTGCAAAGGCCTGAATTAAATGAGTTTTATTGTGTTCCCTTCCTCTTAGCTGAGGTCCAGCCACTGACTGTGTGTACTTTCCTAGCCCGCTGCAATATGAAGTAAAATGAGTTGGCATTAATCATAAGGGAAGGTACCAAAACATGCCAAGCCCATGCCTGGTGCTTGCTAGAGCAGACCCGGGGAGCACTGAGCTTCAGGGCACCTGGTTGGGTCTGTCTGGCCAAAACCATTTCTCTGGGCTCCCCACCTGAACCGGCAAAGCTGACTTCTGCCACTCCAAGGACGAAAGGCCATGACTGGGACTGATCCACACCACTCACGGGAAGATGGAAATGGCCAAGGTAGAACAGGGAGCTGCAGAAGACATTGGATAGATGGGTATGCTGTCCTGCTGCCGTTGGAGGAGGGGGAAACAACAGACGTGGGAGCAGGGACAGTAATTTGTATGCTCCCATTCCAGCTTCCCAAGCTCTTGTGTAGGTAAAATATGTAGCAGAGCCACAACCATTCCAGCTGCTTACTTTGCCAATGGTGAGAGCCAAACTTGCCTCACGTCAGCATTCCCCGCGTCTTGCTGCCTCAATGCCCAGAAGCAGCTCTGTTTCTCCTGATAAAAGGAGTAAGATGCTTTTATTTCTCTGTCTAGCTTAGAAAAGCCACAAGACAGCAGAGCAGACAGAAGGAGGGCTCAGAGAGTACCTCGAGTACTGTGTCCAATTTTGGGCCCCCTACCACAAAAAAGACATAGAGATGCCGGAGTGGGTCCAGAGAAGGGCAACAAAGATGGTGAGGGGTCTGGAGCACAAGTCTTATGAGGAGAGGCTGAGGGAACTGGGGTTATTCAGCCTGGAGAAGAGGAGGCTGAGGGGAGACCTTATTGCTCTCTACAACTATCTGAAAGGAGGGTGTAGAGAGGTGGGGGTCGGTCTCTTCTCCCAAGTCACAGGTGACAGGACGAGAGGAAATGGCCTCAAGTTACGCCAGGGGAGGTTCAGGCTGGATATTAGGAAAAATTTTTTCACTGAAAGGGTTATCAGACATTGGAATGGGCTGCCCAGGGAGGTGGTTGAGGCACCATCCCTGGAAGTGTTCAAAAGACAGGTTGATGTAGTGCTGGGAGGTATGGTTTAGTGATGGTGATGCTTCTTGTTTGTTGTGTGGGTGTCTATTTTTGTCAGTTAGGTTGACGGTTGGACAAGATGATCTTTAAGGTCCCTTCCAACCTAGAAGATTCTGTGATTCTGTGAGAAGCCCTACAAAGAAGGAAGAGCCCAGGTTGCGTGGGACCAGGGGCTCAGCAAGTCCCCAAGCTGTCCATTCTCAGGTAACCTAGCATGCCCCTCAAGGAGGCCACCTGAGCGCTGGTGGAAACCACAGCATGGTGCTGGGAAGTGGCGTAGCTGAGAGGGATTAACACTGCTGTGCCCTACGTGCTGTAAGTTTCCACTGCTTACGTGCTGGGAGGGAGTGAGCTCCTCCTGCCCGGCATGTGGCTGCCTGGCCCCCACATCAGCCCCACTTGGGTTCACATGCGCCACGCAATGCCTTCATGCAGATATATTTATCAAGCTAAAAAAAGTCCTGGTTAACTGTTGTGTTGACTGTGAGGCCTCGCTGTGCTATCTAGGAGGGAAAAAGAGGCCACCTGGAGCTGCAAAAAAATCTCACAAGCTTGCAAAATAAGGAGGGCAGCACACTGGTGGGAGGTTGGATAATCAGTGGAGTGGCCGAATTCCGGCAGCAATAGAGAAATGACTCATTTTCACCCTGCAGTCCCTCCCCGAACCGTAAGAAAAAAAATATTTTACTTTTTACACATTTCCTGGAATATGTGATTTCAGTAGAAGTGCACTTTATACTCTTCTTAGGAGACAGAATCCAGCCCAGTGGGAAAAAGTCATTCTTGGAATAACTTTCAATGAAATCAAGACTTACAACTGGACTGACTTTGGCATAACAAGTCCTCAGGATATTGGTGGCTACTACAGTCATGTTTTTGTAGGCAGTCTGGATCTACTAGTTTTCCTAGTATAATAATTGCAGTAAGAACTGCAATGTTTTGTAACCAAACTAGTTTATACTGGCAAAAGCCCTACTTTGGATGATAGCGAGGTGGCTTACTTATACTGTTAAATTTCTTTCAGTTCTCTTTTGGGAATTGCTATTCTATTATAAAACGTCTTTATGCTGTCTGCACAATAGGTGGGGATGATTACTTCTGCATTGTCATAACTGTACCATTTTCTATCACAGACAAGCTAAATTGTTTAAACTTTTGTTATATTTTATAAAATACTAACATTCCCCATGGTTTGGGGAAGAAAGAAACTACTGTCTTAAAAAAAATAAATAGTAGAGTGATGCCCTAGATTAGTCTGCAAGGCGAGTTCTGTGTGACAGTAAGAGAACGGAAGTCACAAAGAAATCTAGAATATTTTCTTTCAATATTTCTATCAGGCTTGGGATCTTTATTTCCTAAGCTCCATGTATAACCATCTGCATGGACCCAGAGCCTATATATTTCTATTTTAATTTCTAAGATCCAAGTTTATCTTGTCTGCAGCATACAGAGAAATTGGGCAGGACTTCATATGTGATAATACTTGGTGTCATATCCATTTAGAAATGCATTAGCACTGTGGTATCACTGCTTGGCCAGGCCATGGGGCAGTGGGACAGCAGCAGCCTTGCC